GTTAATCAGAGGGATACCAAACTAAGGTTGGGACTGAGAGGCATATGCACACTTTATTAAGGCTGTGAATAGTGTTGAACTAACATGTCTTGATCTGATTAGAGAATTATGGTTTATAGCAAATATTTCAACAAAAAAAGTTAGTTGAGTATTGTTTTAATCTTTTCCAGGATCAAATATGAATCGCTGTGGATTCAGAGGTTCTTCATATTTAGGGATGCCATTCAATCCCTCCAAGGTCAGTTAAGAATGTGTATGTGAAATGTTTTAAATTAGGCAATAAATGATCTTGTGTCTTTTTTATAGTATTAACTGCATAATTACAGAATTACAGAATTTCTGAAAGTCAGGGAATTTTATACTGTTAATACTGAAATGTTTGCAGAACTTTTAAGAAACATGCATAAGAAATGTACTAAAATGGCAACTTGAACTTAAATTCTCACAGCAGTGAAGAAACTGATATACAAATTGTGGCTTATCTCAGTGCAGTCTCCTCCTTCTCTGGTCTTCTACTAACAAAGGAAAACTTTTCTAGCTGTAGAATTATCATAAGGTAGAGAGGCTAGGCAGAATAGCCCAACTGAGTGATGCAGAATGTGCTGATCTTTGCTATCATAGAAAGGTTCAGGCTGGAAAGGGCCCTTAAGATCATCTAGCTCCTATCCCCTTGCCACAGGCAGGGACACCTTCCACTAGACCAGCTTGGTCAAAATCTCATTCAGCCTGGCCTTGGATGCTTCCAGGAATGGGGATTTCACAGCTGTGGACAATCTGTTCCAATGCCTCACCGCCCTCATAGTAAAGAATTTCTTCCTAATACATAACCTAAACTGTTTCAGTGTGAAGCCATTCCCCTTGTCCTGTCACTGCATGCTCTGATGAAAAGTCTCTCTCCATCTTTCTTGGAGGGTCCCTTCAGGAACTGGAAGGCCAAAATTAAGTCACCCCAAAGCCTTATCTTTTCCAGGCTGGCAAATCTCAACTCTCACAGTCTTTTTTTATAGAAGAGGTGCCCCAGCCCTCTAATGAACTTAGTGGCCTCCTCTGGATATGTTCTAACAGAGTCCCTTCCTCCCTGTGCTGAAGACCCCAGGGCTGTACACAGCATTCCACATGGGGGTCTCACCAGAGGGGAGCAGAATCCCTCCCTCCCCTGCTGCCCACGCTGCTTTGGATGCAGCCCAGGACACGTTTGGCTTTCTGGGCAGTGAGTGCCCATGGCCAGGTCATGTCCAGCCTCCCACCCACCGGGGCTCGCAAGCCCTTTGCTCTCGATGACTTCTCTTCTTCTCCCAGTCTGTACCCTCCGAGTCTGAGGTTGTCCTGACCTGGGTGTAGCACCTTGCACTTGGTTTTGCTAAATCCCATGAGGTTCTCATGACCCACTTCTGGAGCTTGTACACTTTTCCTTTAAGAAAAGTGAATCCCATCTGATGCCAATGTGTCTGGTGCCATATAGGCTATCCCACTGTCAAAAAACCACCCAAAATCTTGGCAGTGACACCAGCCAGTGAGGCATGTATTAATAGACTGGGCCTAACTGTTTCTTCCAAAGTCAGTGTCTGCAACTGCAACTGGTATTTCTTTTCCTGTCTTGAATCATGCATATTTGATTGCACTTGATACTCATGCAGACTTTGTCATGACAAGAACAGATGCTTTGAAGCCCAGTGAACTGAGATTCAAGAGATTAAACTTGAAAAGAAAAAGCCTTTAATAAAAGACAGAAATGAGGTTAGCAGAAGCTAGTTTAGTGCTCTCACAGATTTTTCATCTATTTTTCAGTCTGGTTTGATTCTTTACTCTCAAGTGCAGGACAGAACTACTGGACTTCTTTTGCAGTCCTTCCTGCACACTGGCCTCTACTTTGCTTTTCCAGCTATATCACACCTTTAGCGGCTCTACAGTGTAGTATTTTAAATCAGTGCAAACTTTTGGAAACATTTTTCAAATCCTCCCAGTGCAGCTTGAAGAGTTTATTCTGGATATAGTTCTGAGATCTTGTAAAGGGCCATGAAGACAAAATGTCTGTAACATTGGCAGAGCATTGTTTTCCCCTCCCAGCTCTTTCTGGTGTTTTAATTTAATTCTCACCTTCCAATAGTAAATTATTCATACTGAAATATTATCCTTATTGGAAATATATTGCTGTCCATTGGTGTCTTAGAATGTGTTGGCCAATATACATGTGAGATAAAGGGGTGATTCCACCCCTTTACCTGTGAAGGGGTGGAATCACCCCTTTACCTGTAGAAATTAGCTACAAGGCCACTATCTTTAAGGAAATTGGTTGCACATGGATGTGGTTTATATTCAAGCATTGCAATATTTTCTTCATTGTATCTGCATTTGAGGGATTGCATCTGTTTGATTTATTGTCAGTGAAAGGTTTATAGCATTCCCAGCTCTGTTGCCTGAGATGTTCTGAAGTAACTCAGAAAAAAAGAGTTGGAAATTCACAACCATGACTCTAGGATATATACAGTCAGATAATTTTTCTTTTTTCATTATTTAAAAGTGTTCTCTTAAATCTGCCGTGAAAAATTTTTTTTTTTTTTGAAAAGCCTGTAAGCATTTTGGGCTTGCATTGACATTTGCTATCTATTACATGCCACTGCAGTGATTTCATTCTTGATGTCTAAGAAAGTGCCATACCAGAGATAGCCAAATCTATTCAGTCACTAGGGGCCCTTCAAAATAGTAGAAAAATGTTAGAGTTATGCTAGAATACCCAGTTTTAGTAAATCTCTCAAGAACAGTTCATTTAGGCTTGGTTTGGGAGTTGTGGTGTTTTAGCTGTTTGAGGTGTTCGACGGTAATGTCTGTGCAACTTTTTGGGACAGAAGTGAAACAAAAGCATATCCACTTCACTAACTCACAACACAGCCCTCATGATGTCTTAACTGTGCATGAAGGCTAAGAGTGGCTCCTCTGTCATCACATTCAAAACATAATTACTTTTAGAATTAGAAAATAATTGTATACTGAAATGGCTCCAGATTTTGAAGTCTCTCAGATCTGGTATTACTGAAGTTTAAACTAGCTTTTTAATTTAGGGGTGAACAGTCTACTCAAAGTTTCAGATAGGCCTAGGTCTTTTCAGTATGTTGAAAGCATTGTGATTCAGTTTCAGTATGTTGAAAGTGTTGTGAATCAGAATTTAGTTTTCAATAGCTGCAACTTTTACGTAAGATTGTGGTAATTAACATATGCTTTCACTTGGGGCGAATAAAGATGTCTTTTGTGTTCCTGAAATACATTGTATTTTCTCAAGGCTGCAACAATGATACTTGGAAAGATGAATAGTTACAAATATTTTGCAGAGTGAATCACAAAAAAGATAACAATGAATAGAATATAAAAGTAAATGTAAGATAAAAATAAATACTCCAAAGACCCAGGTAAGCATGGGCCAAAATATCTCTGTACTACATCTTTTTTTATTTTAAGCAAACATCTACTGAAAAGTGTCTCTGTCCATGGCAGGGAAGTTGCAATGAGATGACCTTAAGGTCCCTTCCAACCCAGGCCATTTTGTGGTTCTACAAAGTGAGAAATGTCAGGGTCTTGCAGAATAGTTTTGAAACAATTAAAAAGATTACAGAAGCAGAGACACCTTGAATTAGTGGCTAGATACTGCATTTGGCAGTGTACTCTGTAAGTTTTACTCAAATTAGCTAAACTAGCTAAAATCATGTGCTTTAGATGAACTTAAGTTATTATAACATGAAAAATACACCTCTAAAGCTGAGGCTACCCATGTCCAAGTGATGATCCCCACCAACTGAACACCTGCAAAATGTGCTGTGAAATACATCAAAGCACACAAAAGATAGATTGTCAAATAGCTATTAAGTAGGCATTTATTTAGAAATTATAGAACTAAATACTTGTGTATTTTGAAAGCATAATTATTCCTCTTGGCTGTATCCAGGTGTGTTGGCTTGGTGGACCAGGCGCCCAGCACACACCTCTGTGTAAACGTGTCAAAACCACTTAGCTCCATGTGTGGACTGGCACATGTGTGAAGGAGCCCTGTCTTGAAAGTGGGACTGTGCCAGTGCAAGTGCATATTTAGTAGCATTCTTTGTTAGCGTTTGAAGAGATCTTGCCCATGCTTCTGCAGCAGAGAGAGTTTCTTGGCTCTGCAGTGGTCACTGGGAATTCTTGGTGGTCATGGGTTATGTTTTCATAGCTGTTCTAATTGTTGTAGTAGGGAACACTGTCACATCACTGAGCCAAGTTTAAATGTTTGAAAGCTTACTCCCAACTTACATCTTCTAAGTGTTAGTTATTTTAAAGAAAGCTGAGACTGTGGCAACAGAACAGAACTGTTCACTTGTATCTGAGATACAAGTAAGTCTCTTTCCTATGTACCTACAGACTAATTCTTACAAAGGGCATAGAGAACAGGCCCTGGCCCTGGGCCTGGCCACACCCCCTTTGTTGTCTTCTCAGAGTATGTCTGCACCAGTTCATTATCTCAGGTCAGTAAAGACCACTTAAAAGCAATTTAATGTGCCCTATATGTCTGTTTAATGTGCAGGGTAGGACACAGTGATGGGGGCACTGTCAGTAGAGGGACAGGAGTGGGAGCTGTTGAGATTTGTGATGCCACCTTAAGAGAGGGTCCAGGACTGGAAATAAGGGAGAGGAGGTGCACTGTTACATGGCTTTTTCAGTGCTGCTTAACCCGTTTCACTCTGTTTTCTGACTCACTTTCCCAATTGTCTTTGATTCCCTTGTGTGAGAGTAGTCTTTTGTTGTCCAGCGGGTAATAACAATTTTTCTCCTAGTTTCTTACTAGAAACAAAGCCTTTTGGCTTTGGAAATAAGCATGACTTGCCTGAGAAACACCAATTTCACATAACATAATATTAAATTTGGTTTTATACTGCTTTTTCCTTGTGTTTTAGGATGAATTGCAAAATAAGAATTGCAACCGATTAGGCAATAATGCTAGTAAAATCTAATTTAAAAATCTATCTCAACTACTCAGTATTGAAATAGCTTTTATTGTCTTTAAAGTAAGTTATCTTCCAGTTGCTCCAAACTGAACCATCCCAAGTATCATCTTGTTACATTTGGTCTCCATGAAGTGATACAGTCTAGTATGGGCCTATAAAATACCATAAAAATAGTAGTTTTAGCATAGCTGTATCAATCCCTGGCCCATTTCTGTGACTCATGTTGTGGGACTAGTCAGCCTTTGCTTTTCAGTTGACATTCAGTGATCCTTCTGATTCCTCTCCAACTCAGGATATTATGTGTTTCTGTGATTACTTGGTATATAAATACTTCGTTTGAACTCTGATTATTATTTTAAAATAGAGGTGAAAGTAGGTAAGTGGCTAATTTGGCATTGCTTCAATTGATGGAGAGATTACTAATAATACACTGCTTTCTACTTGTAGATCATTATGTTATAAAATCTCTTCTGTGGGACTTAGAGAGTTTGGCTGTTTAAGAGTGCTTACCCAGCTGCCAGGAAGCTAATGCTTGGTGATGTATCAGAACAAACTTAGGTACAGTTGAGTACACCCATCTTTTTCCTGAACTTTCAAATGGAGCTGTTTTGCAAATGGAGCTCTTGGCAAAGCTATTTTCCAAAGCTTCCTACTGACCAAGTGTTTACAAGACCAGCAGAGTTATGCAGTAACTTAGTTTGATAAGGAAAGCTGAGCAGAGTTTGACTAGAAAAGCTGAGCAGGATACCTTCAGTTTAACCAGAATGAGTGAAGGGAAGAGTAACTTGTTTACCTCTTACCTTAAAAAAAAGAAAAAAAAAAAAAAGCTTTGCTGTAGTATAAACTCTTGTGATGTGTCAATATTTCTATTATTTCCTCTTTTTTTAGGGTCCAGGTATATCTCATCCCTATGATAGTGGGCACATAGCAATGACTTACACAGGACTATCATGTCTGGTTATTCTTGGAGATGATTTAAGTCGAGTAAATAAAGATGCTATACTGGCAGGACTCAGAGCTCTCCAGCTGGAGGATGGAAGGTAAAAAATATTTTATATGCTGCAACTCCCACAGCCCACATGTGGAATGAAACATAAGAAACGTGGTTTTTATAGAAGTAGCTATAATCTTTTTGTTCTATTCAGAGATAGTTTGATTGGTAGTCACATAAGTCATAGAACATATGCTGGCTTCTTGGAAGTAGTTAAGTCATCAGAGGATACTAACTAGCTCTTCGAACCAAATGGAGGCTTGCCAAGCAGCAAATCCTGGAAGAAACAATTGCTGGTTTATTTACTGTCACAGGTAATTCAGCCATTTTGTATTGTTGTAGAAGCATATTTTTGTATATCGTAGAAGCATTTAGGTTGGAAAAGACCTTTGAGTTCATGAAGTCCGACTCTTAACCCAGCACTGCCAAGCCCAGCACTAAATCATGTCCTTCAGTGCCACATCTATATGTCTTTTAAATACCTCCAGGGATGGTAATTCCAGCATTTCCCTGGGCAGCCTGTTCCAGTGCTAGACAACCCTTCTGATGAAGAATTTTTTTTCTAATACTTAATTTAAACCTTGTCTGGTGCAACTTGAAGCCACTTCCTCTGTCCCACTTGATAGAGGAGACCAGCCCCCACCTTGCCACCTTTTGGGTAGTTGGCTGATAAGGTGTTCTCTGGGTGTTCTCCAGGCTAAACGCTCCAAGCTCCCTTAACTGGTCCTCATCAGATATGTGCTCCAAGCCCTTCCCAGCTCCGCTGCCCTTCTCTGGGCATGCTTTAGCACCTCAGTGGTCTTCCTTGTCTTGAGGGGCCAAAAACAGAGCACAAAGCTCGAGGTGTGGCCTCGCCAGTGCGCAGTATAGCAGGGTGGTTACTGCCAAATATTTAAAATAATTCTGTTGGGCACTTTCGGATACAAACATCCAAATCAGGGCAACCATCATCATCTTGTGAGTCTCTGAGATTGTGCCAGAATAACTCAAGATACAAAAAAATGTAAATGTTCATAGAGTTTGGTGAGATTGTAACAATAACTAATGAAAAACTGATTCACCATTTGTAGTAGAAATGGTAGTATTAGCAATTACCTTTATACATACCTGGGAAACTGGTCCTCAAGTTGCAGTAAGGAAAGAAAGCCTTGTGAGCTATTAGGATTCCTAAGAATACTGCTCAAAAGAGGTAAAATTATAAGTCATGTATCTGTATATACTGTAATAGGTGAAAGACTGTAAGCATAAACATCTTGGAGTAAATACACACTAATGTAGTTATGTTGCTGGAAATAGTTACTCAGGCTCCTAAATGTTTTGAGTTTTATGCATTTTCCATGGCTTAGAATCACTTCTTCTAAAAATAAAATTTAGTGTAGCTTTGGGTTATATTTATGAGACTACTTTAAAGTAATCTTTAAAGAAAACACTGTGCAATTCTTTGAACCACATTTCATATTTTCTGGTGTAACAGGTGGTGTCTAAAGACAGAAATGTTTCTTTCAGTTTCTGTGCAGTGCTGGAAGGAAGTGAGAATGATATGAGGTTTGTGTACTGTGCTTCCTGTATCTGCTACATGCTCGATAACTGGTCAGGCATGGATATGAAGAAAGCAATAGACTACATTAGAAGAAGTATGGTGAGTGCTCACAAAATGTCACTTCTTCCTATGCTTTAAGGCTTTAAGCTTTTTTTCTTAACTATGGCTAAAAAAATACATGTCCAAACTGTGTTATGGTAATTTCTTTATTTTTTCTTGTTGAGAATTACAAAGTGCATTGGTTTTTTGCATCTGTATTTTCATTAAAATATGTGTGCTAGCAAGATAATTTTATTTGGTGTGTTTGTTCACTGAAAATTGTGTTAAAAATCTTCTTTATTTAAAATAATTAAACAATTGAAATCAGGTTTCTGAAAACTAAGGTATGATATTTGTATAACTTAGAAAAAGTGTATAAAGCACTTTTGAAAAGTGTACCAATAAAATCCTCATATTTCATTGAGCTGTAGTACTGCTTTTTAAAAGATACCCAGATTCAAATAAAGCTAATTATTGACACTAGTTCATGCTTAAATGTTTCCAGTCATGCACTTCATAATTTATTTATTAGATACTTGGAATGAAAAAATATATTCATGAGTATGTACTCATTTTTTTTCTCTGTGCAGATTGTCTTCATATTTGATTGGAGTAAAGGAGTTTTCAATGTTTTTTTTCTTGTTGTTTCAATAGTTTAATTGAGTTACATTTTCAAAGATTGAAACACTGTTTTTTAAGGAAGCTGAGCAAGCTTGAAAATTGCAGTTCCCTGAGTGTGAATAAACACAGATTAAACTCTTGTGGTCCACAAAGAAGACCCAAATTTATGATGACGCACAACTTCTGTTGTAAATTACTATTTTCAGTAGTTGCTGCCAGCAGCAAGATTGTAAAATTTATGTGAGAAGTTTAAAAACAGACTTCAAAATCTCCTGCTTCAGGCCAAATTGTTTTTTATTTGTTGTTTATTTTTAAATGAGGTAGTTGGATGTCTTAGTGTGTCTCACTGTACACCTCAAGAAGCTTTCTGGCACACTACCATAGTCCTGGGCAGACTGAGATGACCAAGGTCAGGGCTCAGTCGTACTAGGATGTGGGCCTGTAGTCTGTTCACATCCTAGTAGCACCTTTTTTCCCATTTTCCCCTCCGTTTCCCCATACTTGTTCTCCCCAGTCTGCTTTGGTATTTCTGTTTCTTACCATTGGCTCTTTCCCAAGCCACCCAATAGTAAGTTATGCTCACCCCTGCATTCCCCAGGAAATAGTCCATGATGAGGGGGTTTCTGTACAATTCTGGAATCTATGTCCCCTGCCTCCCATAAGAGCCCTTCTCCTGTGGCTGGTAGCTCACCTTAGTTAGCATGGGTTCTCAGCATGAGAATATCCCTGCTAAATTTGAGAGTGGATTTTGCACAAGGACAATGATTTATCCATTCTCCTTTCATAGTCTGAGAGAGGAGCTTAGGCAGAGTAGTTGCTCCTACTGATTAAGTTAGGAGCATTCTTCCTCCTGTGATCATTTCTGGACCTTAATGACCTCAATCATTAGTCAAATAGCTTTGCACAGATACAATAGGAGAATCAAGTGTTACAAAAGAATAGAAAACAAAATCCAAGAGCAAAATCCTCATTGTAGTTCTGTACGTCACATTGTCTGTTAACCTTATGAACATTTGAGTGCAGTTTTGATTCCAGAGGAAATGGTGGGACTAGGTAGGGGACAAAGAAAGTTGAGTTGAAGCATGAAAGGCACAAATCATCTTATGTAAAATAAGTATTTAATATACTATGAATCTTTATTCTGTAAATGACATTGTTAACGGGAGTGTGTCGGAGATATGTAATGTTAACAGGTAGCACTGAAAAAATAAAGAGAGGGAGAAGCATCTATTCCTTTCTAAGACAGAACAGACAGAGAGCATCAGATGAGGCCATTAACAGAGCAGGCAAGTGGAGATTTTTTGAAAGTTTAGAGCTTTGAAATGGTACTGGAGTCTTACTGTGAAGTGTGATCTTGAACCAAATTTATACTTTGCTTCTAGAGCTTAGAATTGTTGCACCTGCAAATTCCAGTCATTATGTTCCCCTTGGAAAAGTAATATCATTAAAAAACAAAATAATTTAAGCCTTACCATGGCAAGACATCTTGGAAGGTGTCATACTAATACTTCAGTTCACCAGTAAAGTAGAACTCAGTCTTCGCTTGGTCAAAGTTCAGAAGATGCTGTGGTTTATCACAAAGATTGTGTCTTCTCCTGGCTAGCTCAGAGAGTAACTTAGAGAGATCCTATTAGCAATGCTCTGTAGGGAGCAGTCATTCTAGCATGTAGAAATGTGCAGCAAGACATGCTGTATTTTTGCCCAGGTTTACTGTGAATTGGTAGGTTAACTCTATACTGTGTTCAGTAGGACTTCTTTAGACCACTGATGTGCTGTGAACTCACTGCAGTGTTGGTATGCACATGCACTCGAACACTAGTTCTGTCTGTGTTTTCTGGATTTGCACTCCTTGGCCCACCAGTATTTCTGTGAATTACTTCAGTTGCGAGGTGTCTGACAATTCTAGGAAAAGCCTCAAAATGTTTGTTTCCTGTTTAGTCACATTTCGAGCTGTGAATTTGTCTGAAGAAGTCTCAGACAGTCAGGAACTAGCCCATTGTGAAGATCATTTCACAGCAGTGGTTGTTCTTTCATTCATTCATCTCTTTCCACCACTTTCCTTGAGCTGTATTTCAGTTTAATTACCTACTACAGGAGACAAGTATTTCTTAAAGTATTTCATAAATAAACACAAGTGTGAAATGTGGCATCCAAGAATGTGTGCTTGATTTCTCTCATTAAGATTTTGTAGATGGTGCTAAAACTAACCTATCAAATGGAACAATTGAAAGTAAATTCTCTTTGAGGTTATTTCATTTGTTACTCCTTGTGTAACTAACTATACTATTAATTGTGGATAGCTATAGGTGTTATTGTAAATGCTTATTCCTGCTTTGCTACAATGTCACTTCATTCTGTCACTTTCTAGTTACAGAAAAAAGGAGATTGCATTGCTCAGTACCAAACTGCTCTGACAGAAAGATGTAGTTTTGATTTACTGTTGTATGTCACTCATGTTCATCTAGTTCTGTGACAGTTAACAGAACTTCTTCCAGTTTTTTGAATTGCCATACATGTGAAGTACAACTCATCTGGGCTGAGAGTAATGAGACTGGTTAACCAGAGTACTCTTTGTAATAAGCTTCTGGATTTTTTAGCTTATTCTTTGGAATTTGTTGCCTTTATTGATGGAGTGTAAGAATTGTGTCATACAGGTCAATACAGCTGAATGAGGGAGTGCATTTGTTTAGTTAGGCATGTTAAGAGCAGCAGGAGATTGGAACATAAACCATGTTTAAAATGTTTAAAATAATTGAATCTTCATACGGAATAGATAGCCTTCTTGTTGTCATTTGACCAAAAAGTGTTCATACAATGCTGATCACATAAATAATTCTAGGCCAGTGTTATTGTCAGTAAAGTAGTCAGATTTCAACACACAATTTTTAGCAGTGTAGATTGACTCTTCTTGTCTTTTACATTCAAAACTCAGATATAACATTAATCAAAAGACGACAAACACTGGGATGTTGAGATTTTGAATGACTTCCAAAGACTCATTGATCTTTGCAACAATTCTTTTTTTTAAAGCAAAGATATTGCAAGAAGCTTTAAAAATATCATCTGCTTCTTCTAGTATGGTCTTCTTCAAATGCACTTGTAGTGGTCTGTTGATATAGTTAAGCTGATGTAAAACTTGTAGACTTTGAAGATTTTACCCAACTGGATTTACACGTTTCCTGAGGATAGTATTTAATTATGCAGTTGTCATGTTGCAGTCATCAAGAGCTCCTTTTGCATACAATTTGTGGAGTCTTTTCAAAAGGACAAGGAAATAAAAATATTCCCTAGCTCTTTAAAGTACACAAGTCCCCAGAGAGCAGCTGCTGTCTCTAAATAAATTGGTGTCAGTTAGCCAAGGGTCAGATACTGTCTTTTAGAGTTTAAAGCTAATTGTACAGCCCAACATAGTAGTGTTAGTCGTGCATGGGGATGCACACTTAACATCTTTTCTTCAGAGCTAGTTACTTTGTCATACATAAAGCAAGCCACCTTGTCTTAATGTTGCTGTTTTTTGAGTTAATTAGCCTTACCAGCATAGCTTTGCTAATCAGATTGCCTTTCCTTAGCAATTAATACATCTGTGGAGTTTGGTAGCACATTTGTATTGCATTCTCAAAAGGCAGTGAGAAAGGAAGAGTTCACACTGTGTGCTGTAACACTCAGAAGTTCATAGAGATTACTAAAATTTACTGGTTCAAACCTGAGAAATCAAGTTGCAGCTTGAAGTGTATATATCAGATATTAGTGTTTTTAGTTGCTTCAGCCTGCAGCAACAACTCCAAGCCAGGAATACAGTTTTAGTGTAGCTTCTGTGTGTTCTTCCGTTGGCTTTTTTCTTCTCAATGTCAGTTTTAAAAGCAGATGTACAAAAGAATCCTTAGGTAATTTCTAAAGATACAATAGTCCTGTAGCCATTCTTTGATTAGGACTATGGTAGTCATTATTGGTTTGTCAAGGTGCCCTGCATCTACTAGCCACTGTTTTAGAGAAAATGTGAAAATTCAGTCAGTACCTGGAGGATGTGGGGGAAAGATTTTTGCTGCTTTGTGTCTGACCAGATACTGATCCCATCATTAATTGAGCAGTTGATGTAGAATATGTAGGACCTGTGTAATTTAACTTCAAGAGTTACTCCTTATTGTTCCTACTAAGCAGTTTGGTATTTGTTCAGAGATAATTCATTAAGTATTCTGAGAACTCTTGTAAAATAAATATTTTCCATTTTATGAATAATTGTTTATAAGAAAGATTATTATGTGTTCCTAGATTGCTCATGACACACATGAGCTATGATATTCTTGCTTTGTCAGACTTGAGTTTCCCCTTTTTTTGCACTTAACAGAGTGATTTTTCAGCATTGTAATGGTATTTTTTAACAGTAATATTTTATAGGCCAATTTAAGTTTATTCCAGTGCATGTTATAATTTCCTTCTTGCTTCTGGTTCCCTTGTCATTATTTTTCAAAGCCTGATGCTTCTTGCTTCTTACTAAAGTAATGCTTGGATTTGAGTATTCTACAAACAGAAGTACTTTGCATTTTGCCTCTTTTTTTAATGTTAAACTGCTCTTGGATTATAGACAGATTAAGTTATCTATTTAATTCTGTTTTGCTTTGATTACGTATCCATTTTTGTCTTTTTATACCTGCATTACATGTTTTTTTCTTTGTGGCTTACCCTTTTTCAGGTTTCTAACATATGTCACAACTAAAATGAATTCCATGAAAGTCATAAAAACTTCCTACATTGAAAAAGAGCTGATTTGTTAACTGTGTTGTGGCAAGAACTTTTGGAGGTTTAGAATTTAATGAGATTAAATTATGGCAATGATCTGATGATTATTTTGCTGGTAAACTTAAGAAATTGCAATGTCTGTGAGAGTGCTGTGGTTCTAAAGTAACTGCTTTGTGGGATTTTTTTTTTCCTTCAGTCTTATGATAATGGCCTGGCACAGGGAGCTGGACTGGAATCCCATGGTAAGAATGTCAAAATGTTCTACATCTTTCAGAGTGTAGAAAGTGCAGGGTTTGCCATGACTTTCCTTCTTTTTTGATTTTTAAGAAAGTTCTGTGAGGAGGAGCAAATCCAAATATGCCTCCAAATATCACTTCTTCCTTTAGATCTAGCTTAATATCTGAACAGGCAAGCTTTTAATCACTCCCATTAATCTTAACTTCAGAGTGTTTTGTTGAAAGATGTTGCTTGTAATTCTTGTAGTTCTGTTGCTGACAGAGCAAACTTTTTCCACATGCACCGTTGTTACTCTGAAGATTTTCTCTGCAAGAGAATTTGTGCCATGTGACTGATCATTTCCAATTTCAACACCTTTGTTAAAACATAGAAACATTTCCTCTGATAGATACAGCATCTGTTGTGGGTTCAATCTTGAAGCAGCAGTTAATTTTTGTAAAGAGTTGGTAGAGCTGAAGATAGAAATCCCCATGAGACTGCTATTTTTAAGCAAAATGTTTCTATGCCATGAAGCAGCAGTCTGCTTGTGACAGAGGAGTTTTTGCCTTTTAGATGACTGATACTAAATCTAGTGCTGTAGTCTGTTTGACCAGGTGGTGATTGGTCCATGGTTGGACTCGATGATCTTGGAGGTCCTTTTCAACCTAAATGATTCTATGATCCTATCAAACATTTGTTATCTTTACCCTTAGTATTGAGCTTTGATAGGATTTTGTCTGTTTTCTTCTTGCTAGATCAATAAAGCTGAAACATTTTGATTATATCCCCAGATATTAAAACAATTGGTTAATTAACTTTTAGTTGATTTTTTTTTTTCTCCTCCTGCTCTCCAGACACTTCTGTCTGTCTGTTTATATTCTCTGGGGGATTGTGTCTGAGGCTGGCTTTGGCATCTCTGCTTCAGTCTGATTGCTGGCATTCCAATAGCTTTCCTTTTTAAGTTACAAGTGAAGAAATATTTCTGTTGCAATTCCATTTACTTATTTCTAGACTGCTGTGTAATATAAATTACACAGTACTGTGAGAAGAAACAGCTTTAAGAAAATGAGCTGGTTTATTTTTACAAGAGCTGGGTTGAGGGTTTTTTCCCCCTTTGGCATACCTGCTGAACTAGAGTGTTCTTATTTTTTTTGGATTTTAGACTCAAAGTTAACTTTTTCATACTTTAAAAAAGGCCATTGATTTAATTGTTAAAAGCTTAGTTCTGACTGAGATCATACAGGCTTCAGAAAACCTATGTATCAAAGCATAGCAAACCCTGCTCTCTCTTCACAGGTGGTTCTACTTTTTGTGGTATTGCATCACTGTGTTTGATGGGCAAACTGGAGGAAGTTTTTTCAGAAAAAGAACTGAACAGAATAAGAAGATGGTGTATAATGAGGCAACAGAATGGCTACCATGGACGACCCAACAAGCCTGTAGACACTTGCTATTCTTTCTGGGTGGGAGCAACATTGAAGGTAGTGTACAGAACAGGTGTAGGGATAGTTATTGAATTGTTTTCATTTCTTTAAGCACTATTTTCTTTGCTTGAAAATTTAGATATTTGACACAAATGCACCAATATGTACCAATGATTATAAATGTCTTTCATCTTGCAAAAAATGCAGGAAATGAAGGTTTATGGATTAGTGCTATCTGTGCTGTTACTGCTTATCTCAAAAATAGGCACTATATTCTAGTGTTAGAAATATACTAAGAATTAGTTAAGACTTAGTGTTAAAAGTATACTGAGACTTATAATACTGTTACAATCTAATTTCTTTTCAGCTCTTGAACATATTTCAATATACAAATTTTGAGAAAAACCGAAATTACATCCTGTCAACTCAAGATCGCCTTGTTGGTGGATTTGCCAAGTGGCCAGACAGCCATCCAGGTAAAATAAGTTCTCAAAATTGCAGTGAGTGTCTTCTAAGCAAGAAATAAATTCCAGCAGTCAGACATCTGAGAGGTGTAAGGAAAACTGTACCCTTCCAAAAAAACCCAGAAAAACAACGAATCAACCAGCCAACCAAAAACGAAACAAAAAAGAACCCTCAAAATATAAAAAAGTTTTCATTCTTGAATGGGAAAGAGGGAGATGAAGTTTTTCCTTGTTCAGCCACAGAGGAAGGGAACTGTTGTTGTTTAGATTAGTGTTAAAAGAGTATCACTGTCTATTTAGTATGTGTTTAACTGTTCTGCTTAAAGGATATATTGTAACCTCTGTAAATTGAGTTTAATATATCAAAATATTTGTTTCTTTATTAAATTAATAATTTAAGCTTATTTAGAAGTCACTGGTATATGTAAAAACAGTCAAAGTTTACACAGTTATGTGCTATGATTTACAGATTGTGTTTATACAAGTATGTCTGACAGTTATTATGCTTTCAGAAGTGGGTAATTTGAAATAGTGAAAAAAAGTCAAAAGGATGCTAAAGCCTTTTAGTTTTACAAGTTGTTAGAATTCAGTTAAGGTATTGCAAACTTCTGAAAACAAAGCTTGTGCCAGTAGTGTTTTCAGTGCTCATGGCATTTTGTACAGGGAATATAAACAGTCTTAGTAAAGTGACCAAATAAGATAAAAAATTAGTCATAATAAAGGAAGAGTCTGTTTAGAATCTGTGCCTTGATATTTAATCCTTTGATAATTGCAATTTGAACAACAGTTCAAAATTTTTCAAGGTAACCCCACACTGAAAATACAGTGCTTTTGATAGATGTGCTTCTGCCTCTTCCTGAAAACCAGTTTAGGATCTCTGAATTCCTCAGTTTAGGATCTCTGAGGAATTTAGTTGTATTTCCTCCTCATCATAGATATTTAACAGTATCATTTGGAGGGAGTGTTTTGGTTTATCTTAAAACATTTACCTCATGAGTCAGAGATCATAAAAGTCTGTTTCAAATACCCATCATGTGTTAACCTGTCTTAAACTTAATTTCCTTTTATGACAAGGTTGTCCCCCTAGCTGACCAAGAGAAGCCAGTTGATATAATCTAAGGCTTTCAATACTGTCCCTTCCAAAATCCTTCTGGACATACTGTCCAGAATATGGCACCTCAAGTGCTGGGGGCAGTTTTGGGTGCCACAACACAAAAAAGACATTGAGCTGTTTGAGAGTGGCTCGAGGAGGGTCACAAGGATGGTGAAGGGTCTGGAGGTGAAGCCATGTGAGGAGTGGCTGAGGTCACTTGGTTTGTTCAGCCTGGAGGAGTCTGAGGGGAGACCTCACTGTAGATACAGCTTCTTGTGAGGGTAAGAGGAGGGGCAGCACTGATCTTTCCTTTCTGGTGACAGTGACAGGACATGAGGGAGTGGCCTGAGGTTGCATTAGAGGAGGTTTAGTTTGGATATTAGGAAGAGGTTCTTCACCCAGAGGGTGGTTGGGCACTGGAACAGGCTTTTCAGGTAAGTGGTCATAGCACCAACCTGAGAGAGTTAAGAAATTTTTGGACAAGGCTTTCAGGCATGTGGTGTATACTCTTGGGGTGTCCTACACAGAGCAAGCAGTCAGACTTTGATCGCCTTTGTGGGGTCCTTCCAACTCAGGCTATTTTATGATTCTATGATTCTGTCTTTTAGTGTAGTTGTGATTGTTCAAGGTAAGATTTAAAAAAGGGAAGACAAATAATGCTTATTTTTCTTTGCTGTGTGTGCACATGTTTGTGTATTTTCCAGACTTAATGTAGCATTTTTTCCTCAGGCAGATGGTGGCATAAGTCTGCAGTCATGTTTTGAAGGAAAAAGTAAAAAGTTAGTTCAGTTGTGATACAAAGGAAGACTATAAATGCAACATTGCAAAGATTGCTTCTGTGCTTTCATTGTTATAGATACACAACTGAGCTTCCTGCAAGCTCAATCTCATATTTGAAAGGCAAGCTGTCTTTTGATCATGTTGACACTATAAAGATTCCTAAGATTTAATCCAAATTAGATTTTAACTTCTGTGGCTTCTACTTTATAAAAGCTATGTTTAAATTTGTGGACTCAAGCTATCTTTGCTGTGCAATAATGTTTTTAAGAAGAAGACAAGAAAAAATTCCAGAAGACAGTCAACTGCTGGTGATAATCTATGTGTTATATGGACTTGTAATGTTAACAGGTAACTCTTTCCAGCTGATTATTCAGGAAAATAATATTTTGTAGTCTTGCTGTGTTCCCATGCTAACAGACATCAAAATATTGTTGGTTGTGAAGACCATTAACATTATTTAACACAGAACTGATAGGACAAGAAGGAACAGCCTCAGGTTACACTAGAGGAGATGTAGTGTAGTAGGAAACATGGAGTAGATAGCAGGAAACATTTCTTCACCAGGAGGGTTGTAAAACATTGGAACAGGCTACTTGAGGCAATGTTTGAGTCACCATCCCTGGAGATACACTATGACGCTTGGGGCAGGGTTTAGTCCTAGTCTTGGCAATGTTAGGACATACAGGTAAATAGATTGGACTCTGATCTTAGAGGTCTTTTCCAGCCTAAATGATTCTGTGATCATTTTAGTGAGATACTAAATTATTGACACCTACATGGAGTGCTACATGTTGAACTTTTTCAAGGGACACGTGAAATTCCCATTATCTTTCGATCTTTCACCTATGGTTTCATGGGCAGATAATCCAATCTGATAGCTTGCTGCTACCCAGAGGAGGCAGACTTAGCCCTGGTGTAAGGTGGACATCAGGAGCAGCATGGAACAGGAGAGTAAGAGCATCCCATTTTGGTAGCAGTCATCTCTTGGTCAAACTGCATGAATTCCTATCCTTAGGATAATCTTTCAGGAAAATGAGAATCTAGGAAAAGTAATGCCTTCTTCAGTTTCTCTAAGTCTTGCTGTTGGCAGCTATTTGCAAGAATTTTGCTGTTTCAGTAGTTAGCTGCTCATAAAGTAACCAGCCAAAAAATGTGCGCAAGAAAAAAAAAATGCTTTCTGGACTGGTTATTTTCAGGTATCTGAATCCTTTTTGATTTTTGGCTGTGGCAGCCAGAAAAAATGAAATAGTGCACAAGTTGTTATGAAAGAAATTTGGACTTTAGTTCATGCTGGTAGCTTTGGGCAGAAATGTTTTCCTTCCATCAAAACTCAAGTTTAAAATACAGCACCTGATTATTTGTTTTCCTTGGTCGCAATTACTCGGAGATGTTTGAATATGCGCTGAATATTGGATGTTACAGCTTGAAAGGTTTTTTTTTCCTTTTCTTTCTTACAGATGCTTTACATGCCTACTTTGGGATCTGTGGTTTGTCATTAATTGGAGAATCTGGTATTTGCAAAGTTCATCCTGCCCTAAATGTAAGCACAAGAGCATCAGAGCGTCTTCACCACCTTCATCAGATCTGGAAAACACGGACTTTAAACAGCGTTCAGATGACACACACCTCTCTACGTGACTGATTTAGACTTGAATTTAGTTCTGGTAGCATAACTGTAGCCCAGGGTTAAAAGCCATGTATAACCAATGTGCTCTTTTAAGTGCAGGAATCATACAATCAGATGTGTGTTGCTGGCATCACTTTGATAGGGAGTTGCCTTCAGCAGGTTATTCTGCATTGTGAAATGGGGAATATTTTGATTATATAGAAGTTTGTCACCACAGACTGTAAATGGCTTTTCAGATGGCTTTACTTCTGAGAAATCCCTTGAGGCATTTAAACTTCATTTTGATTTTATTTTTTTAAATTTGTGCATACTGTGTCAAAATATATAATGGGGAAGTATTTTCAAAATTGTTTACATATCATACAGTATAGCACAGAATGTTGAAGTTCTTTATAATCTTACTGTTTGACATATTTTTGAGTAGAGAATCTCCCATATTAAGTCTCAGTTAAAAATTACCTATTATCATCAACTTTCAGATTCCATAAACTTTGTTTTTCACAAACAAATTAATTAAATACAAATAAAATTATTTTATTCAATATACTGGACTTTTAAGGTTGTGTGGCCTTACTAAATGGATCTTATAAGTCTTCTGAGTAGGTTTTACACAGCTGGAGTGGATTGTTAGCCATACAAAGAGTTTTCTCTGAAATAGTTTCTTTATGTGAAGTTTGCTAAGAGTGTGGCATATTGATGTGCATCAATAAGATATATTCAGCCCAGTCTTTTGGAAGCATACCTGTATGCAAGAGTAGCATTAGAACCTGCTTCCAAAGACAAACTTCTGCAATACATTGAAGTTGTTCAAATTAGAGTAATGATCAACATTCTCAGCTTCTTTAGCTTTACTAGTGCCTTATTTTGTATGCTTGAAGTGCTGTTCAGAGTTGAAGCAAGTAACTTTACAGCTGGTGTGTTTGTGGCAGGTCAGTTTGTGCATTCAGTAGACACCACAATGTCTTTATACTTGTCAGTCATTAACAGCACTTTTCTTTTCTAAAGGTTCCAAAGACAACTGAAGACTTCCTAATTAGGTGCACCATTTGCCACTGCTGAGCCCAAAGAAACAGGATTTAGATCTTTTTGTCCAGCAGAAAGAGCTTTGGGGATAAACATGATTCCTGTTTTGCAATGCAGGGCAAGTGAAAAGGGTAGTTGTACCCCTAGCACACATGTCGGAGAGGTCCAATAGTTATCTTTAGGCTACTAGAACAATCCCATTGTCCAAACTTGTAGCAGCCTTCCTACTTAAATAGATAGGCTTTATTTCTCTAGCAGATTAATTTTGATTGCAGCATTGGGAGCATAATTAGTGATAGTGGTCTGCTTGGAAAGCAGTGGAGGAGTGGAGTAAGGTGTGTGCGATCTAGACATGTCCTAGTAGACACTTTACTTGGAGGAGGAGAGACTTGATAGTTGTAAAAACTGAGAAGTCCAGAGGGGTGGAACCAAGAGAACTGAGGCTAGTACTAGAGAGGGGGAATGAGGTGCTTGAGCAGGACTGTTGTAGAGTAAGAAAAATGAAACTGGGAGATACTGAGGCTGGAGGCAGGAGCTAAAAATGTGGAGTAGCAATGGAACCAAACTGGTGGAAAGGATTTGGGCTGCCTAGGGTAAGATTAGGGAGCAAAAGGAAGGTATTGACTCAAGGAGTATGAAGGAGTTAGGGGGCAAAGATAGAGCTTGGTAATTGGTTTTACTGCCCACATGCTGAGATGACCAGAAATCCAGCCACAAGTAAAGAGAACTAGAAAGATACCTAAAAGAGGATCTCCCAGGCAGGAGGCTCACTACAGCACTTCCTGTGAGAATCCCATTTTCCTGGAAGGGTTTAATGGGATGTTGGTCAGCAAATGCTGAAGTAGCTTCCCTGAGCAAAAGTCTCTAAGTTCATGGGGGTCTACCTAAATGAAAACCCATTTAAAGTAAAAATGGATCAAAAAAGCATGGTATTTTCTTGTCTTTACATCAGATGGTGATGACAAGTTGACTTCTTGGTAGATAGGCTGGGTTTCTGGAATGCAGTGTAGTTAAAATGAAGATGAGATATAATTGTATCTATCCATCCCCACCACTGCTTCTCTACCTTGCTGGTGAACCATCTTTGAGTTTTTTAGCATTTACTACATACCCTGGTAGAGGGAGTAGCTGTAAATTTCAGGAGAGTTGAATAGGTGTTCTTAGTCTCTGCTGGGAAACAGTCTAAATATTTGTTCTTACTTAGCTTAGTGAAAAATGATGTATTTGATTATCATGAGGCAAATCCATACTTGCAAAATCTTGAACTATGGTTTCTGAGTTGTCCTGTGTGTGACCACATTCTCATCTGTGAGGGGCATCAGGGTCCCTCAGCAGAAAATATGGGGGTAATGGTGAAAAATCATACTATGTGAACAAGAAAAATTCTCATGGCAAGTAATTTAACAGTTTTCTGTTTCAAAAAACAGGTAGCATTTCTTGCTGTGTTTTCTGTAAGTTACTCTGGGTTCTTTATATGGATTTTACATTTCTTATCTCCTTGGCCCCCAGTTATTCTACAACATCTTTTCAGGCTGCATGTTGACTGCAGAGCTAGCCTTTCCTAAAGGTTGCACAAAACATATTTGTTCCTCGTTAACCCAAAGTTTGATGAAAGCAGCAATGCTTTCATCTCACACTGAATATCTAATTACTTTAATTCTTTTGAAATCTTTAATCTTTTTTAGGTTGACAAAAAGCTGTACTAATAACCAACGCTGCATACATTATTTGCCATTCTGAATGTCCCAATTGATGTCAGGCAAACAAATGATGTTTGCCTGAATGTTCCTGTGTAGCAGACACCTGGATTCTGACTGTATTGAATTGTCTCTCTGATTTGTGTTTTTTTTTGTGTCTTCTGACTAGAAAAATGTTAAGTGACAGATCCGTGGACAAGAGTTTCACATAAGTGCATAACTAAAATCACTTTTAAAGGGGATACATCAAAATAGAGCTAAAACTTAAATGTGAACTGTGAAGTTTAAATGTAGCTAGAAAAAGAAAATCATGTGATTATTACCTACCTCTAATAATTTTGTGTTAATCACAGCTTTACATTGCTGAGACTGAACCTACATAAGAAATTCATGCATTGAATGGCTTTACCATGTGCTTGCAGATGTAAAACCTCTTGGCTATTAGGCTGACAAATGTGAGTGCCTCTATCCTATCTGAAACACTCCCAAACTCTATGTGTGGCCCAAGTTTCTCTTCCAGAAAAACAGCTGTAAAATGGTATATTGAACAAGGGAAGTCAAATGTATATTTTCCATAGGTTCTGAGGACTGGGGATTAAAACGTCATTAGGACTTTCAGGCCCACTTGATTTGTACATAGCTGTTGACAGATATGGTAACACCATTTTGGAAGGCTGCTTCCAAGCATGTTTGTGAATTTTCATATTGAGAACTGTTTTTTCTAAATGGAACAATCATCATCACTGAGAAAAACTAGTAAGTGAATTGGGTATTGCAGAAATACCTGAAGTGCATGTGCTGAAGCACATATTAAGCGTACCTTGCTCTATGCTCTATTGCCCAAGGTAAAAGAACCTGAGAGGAGCTGAAGAAGCTGCATCTAATATGCTTTCTCCATGGATGCCAGTCTAGAAATTAAATATTCTGTAGAAAGTGTTGTATTCCCTAAAAAATGCAATTCAGTGTAGTGCCCAGTGAGCCAGTCAGTATGGGCTTGCCTAATATATATGGGAAGAAACGGTGATTTCCAAAGTCAAAGCCTTTCATGGACAGCCCATCTCCTGGCATTTTGGAGAAATTTGCTATTAGTGTCCCTGTGGAGGTCAAAGAGATGTCAGGACATGCATAAGAAGCAGAGAGATCCTAAGTAAGAAGATGCTATTGCTTCAACTAAATATGAGACATCTCCAAAATTCATCAGTTGAATGGGATTATTAGTCTGTTTACATTGATGTTATTGTGGTGGTTCTGAAAAGTTCTTTTTTTGCTGTTGCAAGAAAAGACCCCTTAACAAGTTTTCCTCTCCTGAGATGACAGTGGGTGAAAAAGAAGATAGTCTCAACATGTTTATACTATATGGTTATTAAATTACTCCACTGGGTGGTTACAATGTGTTGTAGATTTACACTTTCTGTTTGCCATTTTTAAGCTTTTGTGTTCCTGGTCTCTCTTTGCCTGATTAGGTTCTGAGTTTAATAAAAATCAATGAACTGTTGAGAAAATGAGGGAAAACTGTAATTTCTTTTTAACCATAGCTCTTGTCATGTGTTTTTTTCCAAGTTACATGTTCTGGGTGAGAACCTGTCTTCCCAAGGGCACAGAGAATGACAGCCTCCAAGGGTTTTCAAGCTGAACCCATCAAAGGCAGCCACTACTGCTTTATTTTTGAGGTACTGAAAAAGTGCCTTGTTTGATAACTGCATTGTGAGAATATAGAATCATAGAATGGTTTGGTTTGGAAGGGACCTTAAAAATCATCTCTTCCAACACCCCTGCCAAGGACAGGGAGACCTCCCACCAGATCAGGTTGCTGAAATCCCAGTCCAACCTGGATTTGAGCACTTCCAGGGATGGGACATCCACAGCTTCTTTGGCAAACCTTTTCCCAGTGCCTCACCACCCTTACAGTAAAGAATTTTTTCCCAATACCTACTTTCTCAGTTTTAATCTTGTCCTGTCACTACATGCCCTTACAAGAAGACCCTCTCCAACTTTTTTGTGGAGTCCCTTCAGGGACTGGAAGGTGCTGTAGGTCTCCCCACAGCCTTCTCCTTTCCAGGTCAAGCAGCCCTCTCTCAGCATCTTTTCACAGGAGGGATGTTCCAGCCCTCTGATCATCTTCATGGCCTGCTCTGGATGCACTCCAAAAGGTCCGTGTCCTTCTTATGTTGAGGATCCCAGGGATGGATGCAGCACTCCAAAGAGGATCTCAACAGAGCAGAGCAGAGCAGAGGGGCAGAATCCCCTCCCTCCCCTGCTGCCCACGCTGCTTTGGATGCAGCCCAGGACACGTTTGGCTTTCTGGGCAGTGAGTGCCCATGGCTGGCTCATGTCCAGCCTCCCAGCCACCAGCACCCCTGTCACCCCCAAGTCCTTCTCAGAACAGCTGCTCTCAATCCATTTGTTGCCCAGTTTGTACTCCTGTCTGCAGGACCTTGCACTTGCACTTGGCTGTGCCAAACTCCATGAGATTTGCACAAACTCCCTTCTCAAGCCTGTCCAGGTCCCCCTGGATACAATTTCTTCCTTCTGGTGTGTGGATAGCACCAAGCAGCTCAGAGTCATTGACACACTTGCTGAGGGGGCACTCTGTCCCTGCTGCCCCCAGGGATGTGGAACAGTGCTGGTCCCAGCACCAGGCCCTGCCAAAGCCCGCTCATCACTGGTCTCTGCTTGGACATTTAGTGTTGACCACAACTCTTAAGCGAGACCACACAGTCCATTCCTTATCTATTGAGTAGTCCACCCTCTCCAGTTTAGAGCAAGGATGTCATGTGGTATAGTGTCAAAGGCTTTACACAAGTCCATGTATATGATGCCAGTTGTCCTTT